GTTGAGAGAGACTTCTTTTTCAACACGCTCGCCAAGTGCTTGCTCATCGTGGGTCATCTGATTGCTCAGGTTCTGTCTGTAATACTGTAGGGTCTTTATCTCATAGTATAAAGTGCCTTGAGGCGCCTGTTGTCACGGACTAGTGCTATATAAATAAAATTGGATTGGATTGCTCCAGGGCACTTAGGCAGGATGAATATTTAAAGGGCTAGATCCACAGGTCCTGCAATTTAAGTTATTTATAGTGAATCATACTTTTCAGTCCCAAATGTCTCCCTGGATTCATGAATCGCTACCTAGCTCTCATTTGGGTTAAGATGGTTCTATCAGGCTGGAAGATTAAAAAGAGTGCGGCTAGCAGTCAAATGTGACTGCTGGTAATCCCGGTGATCTATTTATCCAGGCTCGACAGTGACAGCCTCTCTCTCTTTTTCCTTTCACTGCTGCACTAGCTGACTGCGCTGCCGCCTCTTAGTATCGATCGGAAAGTCCTGAGCCGTCAGATTGCTTTCAGCAGCCATCACCTCCTCCTGTCATAAAGGGAAAGTTGCACAGATTTCTCCCTCTTTTAGTGGTCCGAAAGAGATGAACGATGGCTGAAGGAAGCATGGCTGTGGTGCTGTTGTTGAGTCTATGACCTGGATTGATGGGGAATGTGGTGATGTTTTTATTGATAATTTTTTTTAGGGGGGGGGCAGGATAAAAAAGAGAAATTATCCTGTCTTTCTGTCTTTTCTCAATTTCTCTAGTCAAGAAAAGTGCTGACAGTCTCTGCGTTTAACTTTTTGTTGGGAACTGCATCCTCTCTCTGCCTCTCCTGTGGGCCTTCCCTTGCCGTTTCACTCTCTTTCTATCTGCTCACCACTCTCTCGCACATAGATACCTGAGAGGGCACCAGCAGGACTAATTACGGACAACAATAACTGCCCCCCCAGCTCCGGCTTATTCCCGACTGCGTAACAAATTCATTGGCCCATCGCTGCCACTATTGTAAATCAATCTGACAGACGCACGTGAGGTGCTGAATACATTCATGCACCATGTGCTTGTGCTGCAACTTGTACTCACACAGGAGTAAACAGGTTCAGCAGTTGTTAGATGTCCACATCCATCTCTGCAGCCGACTGTTTGATGTTCAAAGAGGGAGCGCGTGTTGGGGACGGTGAAGGCAGAAGGGCTGGGACATATTGGTGGCTGGGGAGAAGGGACAAGCCATTCGAGCAGGGGACCAGTGGAAAGCAGAATGACTGGGTATATTAAGCAGAAGGAAATGGGTGTTAGGGGTATTCTCCAGATATGAGGGTGGCAGTTGGTGTGAGGTAGGGCGATGATGCATTAGCTTTAAGGTACTGAACTAGAGGCCACCAAGTCTGGCATCAAGATAATGGCCTGGATCTAGTGAATTGAGAATAAGAAGGCTAGTACTGTTTGAAGTGTTGTTTATGGTCAGTAGAAGTAGTATCAGCATGGTGATAGGTAGAGTATCAGCTATTTTACAACACCAGACTTAAAAACTCAAAATGTTCTGCCTTTTTTTTTCCAACTCATTTAACAACTTTTAAATTAAACTTTTACACGTAGACCACAAAACAGGTAATAGATGGCTGTATTCACAGGAGAAGGTCTGAGCAGACACATAAGACACAGTTCATCTGTGTTTATACCAACATTTCTAGAACAAACCAGCGCATACAACCACTTGACCCCTCCACTTGCAGATTCTTAACAGAGTATAGGAATCTGCAAAGCTCTCTAAATATCAGTTAATGTGCTGAGTCATTATGAAGTGTTTGAATATTCCACTG